CTAATGGATAGACATTTTGTTAACATATGTAGAACTGATGCCAGGCCATAAAACAACACTGTACTGAGTATTACACATCTTCAGAGAAGCCCTTTTTTTCCCTGATACTTTTTTTTTTTTTTTTTTGCTGGAGGAGGAGGAGGGGGTCTACAAATTATTTCTTTCCTTATGTGCATGAATGCCTAACAGACTCAGAAGCCTGGACATTTTTACGTTCTCTTGTTCCCTGGAGTTTTGCCCAATATCACAAATTCCAAGAAGGGTCTGATTTTTGAAATAGGGAAAGGAAAAAGAATGCAAAAGCAAATAAACTTCCTTTTCCCTTGTAGAACAGATTCTGTTACATCAATCACAGATTGGTAAAGAACTTCATAATCTATTACCTTAGCATCTCTGTTTCGCAGGTCACTCCTAGGACTGCTACTTTCAAAATGCCATCCAAACTTGGCTCAGAGCTACAGCACATTCTTTAATGGCCTTTTAAGCCTGTGGTGTTCCAAACAGTCACTTTTCAAATGGTACTTTTTGTAGATATGGCACTCCATAAAAACAGGAGGCAAAAAGCAGTGCAGAGTGAATTCCTGGAACAGCTACTCAGGATTCTACAAAAGCCACTTATAAGCTTCTCTCTTTGTGCTCTACGGTATTTATGCCAGATCATAGGATAATGAGCAATCATTAAATGTATGTACTTTGTAAGGCACTTAGGAAACTGTTTTCCCATCACTTATTAAGTGTAAAGTAAGTAAAACAGCACTGTACACCAAGAAATAGGCAGTACAGAAAGATACTGAAAGCCAGGCTTACAGAAGAATCACATCTTTATCCACTTTGATACCTTTGCAGTTAATCAAATATTTTGCAGTTCCATGTTTGGCACATTAGGTACTTGAAGCCAGACTAGCAAGAAACAGCCACTCTATGTATCATTTCCCCAGTGATGGGAATGGTTGCTTCTGCACTTTAAGACCAGTCATGCTACATCTGCATTAAAATGAAAAGACAAACATGTTTTACTGCCAGCTCTGCCTGAATTTCAAATGAAAACCACATTAGTTAACTCGTGAATTTCTCAGTCAGTCAGTCTCCAGTGTCAGTTTACACAGCCTATATAAAACAACTCACCAGTACACAATGCAGTACAAAAGGATGCTAACAGTATTGTCCCAGGTTCAACAACATGCTTCAAGAACCCCTTCCCCAAAACTAAAGTCAGGAGCAGACTGCAATAGCCTGGAACTCAGTAGGTTCTGATGCCATATTTTTTTCATTTAACAAAGTCTTTGGCTCAACTGTCAGGAGTCACATGGGCTGAAATACGTGAAGCCCCACAGCCCACAGGTTTTCCACTCCCCTGCTGTCCTAAGCACCGTGGGAATGTGATTCCAAGCTCAGGAATGTTGCCAGGGCATCAAGTCATAGCACGTTTGGTCCCACTACTTCCTACCGACTTACATGCAGAAAAGCTTGATCTTGAATTCGTTATCTTGTGGGCACAGCCTCACCTCCTTTGGGCACTTAAAGGGATCTGGGCTTCAGAAGGAACTAAGAAAGCACCTGAGGAGCAACAGTGATGATGCTGGATGTCTCTGGGTGTGTGTGCTCAAAACATGCAGTCATGTCAACCGTGACATCAGCAAGGATGCTGTATGGGAGAGCTGCGCCTCCCTAGCTTAGGAGGAGTAACACAAGAGAAAGCAGAACAGGGACACACCAGATTGTACTGACACTGGGATAAGGCACATTTACCTTTACAGTTCAGATTTTTTCCACCCCAATTAAAAACTTAGCAGTGCAAAGTTGCAACTTCAGGTAGGTTTCGAAGTACACTGATCTTACTTGGAGCAACTGACATCAAAGCATTTGTTTACTGCTACTGCCTGGCCAAACCAAAAGGACAGATCCAAACGGAAGAAATATCACCAGGTTAACTGTTCAAACAACCATTACTGGGTGCATGGAGATGTGCACCCAAGTCACATCACTTGCTTTTGAAGATTCGTGCATGAGCTTCATCTTCACAAAGCAGTAATTATATTTCTTGTATTGCTTTAACTTATTCAGAAATGTAAATGTATTAAAGTTAAGCATGGGAGCCTAACTAAAATTTTGCAAGTTCAACGATTCTATCAATTATCATGACATCAAACACTCCTTGCAAAAAAGGAAACAGAGCACTTGTAGGAAAACAGGCCAGAAGTACTTCAACTACTTTATTTTTTATTTTTTTTTCCTCCTCCACTGCTACATGCCTGAGTCCACCAAAAAAAAAAAAAAAGTCACTTAGAAAAATGACTTAAAAAGGAGGCTCTGAACTGACATGCTGCAGGAGTGGTCAGCGGTGAAATAATAATCAACACTGCTTGCAACAGATAGAGTTTTTAAACAATTATGTCTTGGTAATTAGTTTTAACAAACATGCTAACGTCTCAGAAGGAATGAATGATTTATAAACCAGGCAGTATATTAAATTCTAGTAAATACATAGACAATCACAGGCATTCCTAACATAGTTACATCTAGAACTGTGTCACTTCTCACCAAACTTCATCTGTATTCCACAGTGACCCTCGTTTTCAATTCTGTTCCAGCTTTTAACTTATAATTAACTGCAATATCTGTGATCAGTAATGTTTCACAGGCTCCAGACTAATTTGAACTGCATGGCTCTAGACCTTTGTCACAGCTATACCACCCGCTGCTGATTTCTCACCCAGAGTTCAGAGATACAAATTTGCCTTTGTTTCATTTCAAACCTCAAATTGAAATTTTGGCCCACAGGAAACAGCACCTTTCTCTTCCACTGGACTTGTAACGCATTTCTAAACACTTTGGCATAAAAGGCATTGCAAGAATTTGGGTCTGCAATGTATTCTTTGCCTGAATAGTTAGATTTTTCTGGATAACAAAGTTGAATTAGCATAGCGAAGCATCTATTAAGCTTCCAAGAATTGAGCACTATAAAACCTAAACATTCACTTGTTTTATTTTTCTGTTCCTTGGTTACTTTTTCAAAGTGTGTATGCTACCACTCCCATTAACATCAGCAGGGGGTTTGTAAATAAGCCTTTATCCAACATTTCAAAAACCTGAGCTTTTTGGGGTAAGAAGAGATCACAATCTATTTCCTTACTTAAAGACACAGAGCAGGATAGCAAAGAGCATTTGAAAGCACACTTGAAGGTTATTTTTGGACATTTTATAATCCAGGTTGAAATGCCATACTATTGAAATCCACCAAACCTAACTCAGGAAAGGTAGCATATTAGCTAATTAGCACATTACAACATCTTCAGATGGCACGTACCTAAATTACTTTATAGATTTGGGCACTGTCTTTAACTCAGTACACATTCTAGGAACCTAAACTCACAGCCAATGGTAGGAAACAAATCAACCACAATGGTCATTACTTACCTCTTTGTCCAGTGATCAAGCTTTTGAAACTGCATGCTTGTGTTAATACTAAGAATTTTAAGCCATCAAAAGCCGAAGCTATGTGTATAATTAACAAATGCACAGTTAGAAGAGTGGCATGGCCAGGATGGTATTTTACAGGACTATAGTTAGAGAGATTATCATGGAGGAAAGAAACAGCCAAAAATGAAAAATGCCCACTGTGTCCTAAGCTCACAAGTAAAAAATTGCAAAAAGAGAGATCTCCAGAAAGAGAGCCTTCCTCAGTGGCAGTCGGCCCTTAAATGGGGTCTATGAGAGGTGCAGCCAGGCTCCACCCCACTGGTCACACAGCTGAATTAGTTCACCTGTGCTCCCATGGCTGACGCAGTGCTTGCCTCAGGTGATCAATCAGCGGTTCAGGCTGCAACTCAACAGTTCCCATACACTATGGAACTTCTATCTTGGAACAGATACAACATTGTAACAACTATGGCCAGTTTATCCACTGAAGTTGGAAGACTACAGTGTTAAGAAAGCCATCATGGCTCAGCAGATGTACTTCAGCAGCAACTCCTACTGCTGCTACAAGTGAGGTTGCACCAACATTTTCATGAAAAAACATACTGCCAGAAAATTCATTCTGTGTTTTAATCTGACACAGAAGATCTCATACCAGGGATAAATCCTCCAGCTCTACAAATGTACTTTGTATGATTTTTGGCTAAGAACTTGGAATAAAAAGGAAAGCAACAAGAATGTCTTGAAATTGAAATCAGCAACCAGTGTTCAAACAGATTGCAGACACTTCTTAGTGTAGACGGTTCCTCCTATCTGAGACACACACAATTCCAGCCAAATGTAGAAAGTAAAAATTAAATTAAAATTAAAAAAAATAAACTGACATCCTATATTCATTTTCAAAGTTAAGGAAATCTCAAGAAAACAATTTTATTTCCAGACAGCGGAACAAGCTTTCTTTAGCTGATGATGAAACCACTTGTAGATTACTAAGAGAAAAATAAGCAAATTTCAAGTACAAATCCTTCTGGTAACCATAACTTTAACTAATTATTTAAAAAAAAATAATTGTATTATTGCAGTGCTAGGATTTTTCACCTTTGCTTGCATAGGTGCTCTGCAATATCTGTGCAGATAGCACTTAATGCAAGCTTTAAGTTTGGAAATGAAGTAAGATGTTAAATTGTGCACAAGTTAGTTGAATTTCATGTTCTTAGAACAGAGTCATGCTTATAGTCTTGTAAAACAGCACATCTAAGCATATTCAAAGCCAGGCTGGATGTGGCTCTGGGCAGCCTGGCCTAGTGGTTGGCAGTCCTGTCAATAGCAGGTGGGGTTGAAACTAGATGATCAGCGTGGCCCTTCTCAACCCACACCATTCTATGATTCTATGATTATGAATGAGCCAAGTGGTTTCAATCCTGCTACCTGGAAAACAACTAAATGCCAAGAAGACCAAAATGAGGAAGAACAGGTGATCAAGAGATGCTTATTTGAAGGATATTTTATGAATAGATGTTCTTTGGGGTTTTCTTCACATTTTTAAGGGCAAAATGAGTTTACTATTGTATATTCTCACTCACCTGCTCTGGGTACTTGCTTCCAACTATTTCTGCCACCGTGTTAAAAGAAGCAGAGTCTGGGTAGGTCCTGGCTCCCATCTTCAGGTACACAACAATCTTAGTGCCTCGGAAAGACATCCGTGACATCATTTCAGCATCTTCCACAGAGATGCAAGCAGTGGGAATCTGAGGTATACCAGACTGGTAGTTCTGCCAGCCAGTATGTGGGCTACAGGAAAGGAAAAATAAAACAGTGTTAACAACTTAGCTTGTAAGTTATTATCACCATTATAGAATTATTAAAAGAACACTTCCACTGCCATCCCCAGCACACTGTCAAAAGGAATATATTAGTTATGTTGGAATAAATCTTTCTAAAAAATACCTCAAGTGGTTTTATACTAATCACTATATCTGACCGTCATCATTCCTGGGAAGTTATTCTGTGTCAGCACAATTTAGGTGCTTTGACATTACAGTAGTAAATCCTCTGATACCACATTTTGCTGCTTCATCAGGAAGAAAAACAATGAAAAGTCGGTAAGTGCATTTTTTTTCCTGTGACAAATAACCAAAATAATATTCCCTACTTCACCTATTTCAGCATCAGAGCGGCTGTCAAAATGACATCTACTTTGAAGAACACTAATATGAGAGATTTCAGATAGACAATGAAACCATAAAGTACACATTCACTCATTCTCAGTGCACTTGAGACTTCAGCCACCACCTGCTGATGAAGTAAGGTATTTTTTAAAAACAGTAAACTTTAAACAAATGATGCAAAAATGAAGAAAAAATATACACCATTAAATACTTCCATTCATCTAAGGAAATGTGGAGATAAAATTAAAAAGAAATCACACAAAAATCACAAAAAAAGTGTTAATCTTACAGTTACACATTTTCTTTCACTAAGATAGCACTAGGTAGCCATATTTCTTCCAATATAACTCTGTTTTCTCCAAGAAAGCTGCAGATGTTTCACGACTACGTACAGCATATATTCCCCTTCCAGAAGCTCCTTCTGTTCTACCTGAGGTGACTTCATGTCTGGCATCACAGACTGCTAAAAGTTAATGGACAAGTTCTTTAACAAGTTCCTTCAACATTTTTTCCAAATTAGGCCATTATTTATCTCGTTTTCTGGTGCCATGGTTGAGATCTTTGGATCAGATCTGCAGAAAAACTAATGCAGAAAAAAAAAGAGAAAGTGGGAACTAGATGTATGCCCAAATCTGAAAATACTCCTGATACTAAAACAGTCATTTTCTTTGTTTCCCATTCATTCAGTGGGAACAACATCACTCCTTGCTTCAGAGACTATGATGAGGACAGACTCAATGCACACCTCAGAACCATTCTGATTTCACAGTGATGACAGGAAATTGACTGTTATACAACTGCATGTCCTAAATCCCAAAGTAAGCTTAGAACTGCACACTGAAATATTAGGGCAAAACGCTGCATGAGCTGCTCTTCAGTATTGGCCATCCTCTGCACTGAGATTTTATGCTGAAATAATATTGGTACAACACCAGATTTTTCTCCCTTCATTTCAGGTTTACTTCATAATTCTTGTGTTTCAGATGCTGCCCAAGAGAGGCATTTCAAATATACATAAAATTCTCAGTCATGTAAAAGCTTCCTCAATACTCATGAATACACTATTTATCTCTATTACTAAATAATGACTTTATTAGTGAAATGCCTGTGAATGAAGCTTCCAGTAGAAATCTCTAGAACTAAACTATTTTCTTACCTACTTGTTGCCCCACAAAGAAGGGCTGAAGTTGAAACTTTGAGGCCAGATTACAGACATTTCTCACGCTAGCTATTAAATTATCCATATGTGTTAAACACAGAATGGCTGAGGTTGGCAGGTACCTCTGAAACCATCTGGTCCACATTCTCTCCAGCAGAGACACCCATAGCTGCTTGCCCACGGCTACATCCTATACGTGAAATCTTCTCCTATATGCTACTTACAGCAGTAGACACATATTTATACATATTTAAACAATAAATCTGTGTCTTTTAATTTGGAAAAATACATTTGAAATATTCCTGAAGATGTGTGGAGAGATCCACTTTCTAGAGATACAGATTAGATAAAACGGGAGAGATTATTCAGTTGTAGTTCTTCAGAGTAAATCCCTCTCATCTCAACAACACTAACATGTATCATACATAGTCCATAACACAACTAGCAGACAAGATATATGAAAGCATTTATCTGAAAATAAATACTAAAAATCATCCACAGAGTTTCCATGGGAGCTGCTTCAGAGCATGGATTGATCCGTTCATTAGGTGGCAATAGTTTAAGAAGTCATTGCTCCTTGCCAGGAAGGCCGTGCAAGTTGGATGCCCAGTAGCTCCCCTTGAATCCCCAAACTCCAGAGAAATTCCAAGCAGGCATTTCCTAGATGATGTGAATGCACTCATGTAGGCTTACAAGTTGAGATCTTACGGATTTTTTCTTTCCTTTTTCCCCTGCAACAGTCCCTCACCCCAATTTTTAAACTACTACAAGAATTTGCTGCACATATTCAGTATTCCTTTGAGAGTTTGGAGATATAAGTCAGAATGCTAACCAGGAGACCTTCCAAAAAAAACAAAACAAACAATACACTGAAAAAAAAAAGCCAACAACCAACAGTACGATCATTTCATGTATTAATGGTCCAAAAAAATTTGAATTTCAACAGCTGTGCAGACACAGTTAAATGAGCCCATTCACCTGCATCTTCTGGCAAGATTATGGCTAGTACTAACATGCTGTGGAACTGCTGAGCAGTGATAATTCAGGTTTTATCACCACCTGTATTGATTCTATTCCTCTTATTACTTCCCAGATGCTCAACAAAAGAAATCCCTAAAATCATATTTGTTTCTCCCATGTAAGTAGCAATCACATTTCTCTCGGATGCTCACTCGCAGCACTCCACGGTAACTGTGAATAAGGCTCCTGACAATGCAGTGAGATGCACGCACGTTAATACATCTGAAACGAACGACCATCTACACGTACTGTGCTTATCTAGCCAGCACCAAAATTAAACCCAGAAGATACCTGGTAGTCTTGTCTTCTTTATGCTTGAGTTACTTCTTTACCAGGATTACTATGCTAAACTCAAATACCCAATCATGACTTTTTGCCATAGGCAGACAGTCAGCCACTGTTGAGCTGATATTGGGATTCCAAGGAAATGAGTGAATGCCCAAGAGACTTGATAGGCAAAAAGGAAGAAGAATTCCAAGAGTTACCACGATGAGGCTCAGTGCCTCAGTGCACCATACTGTGCATTCCTAGAGCTACAAGGCCAACTCACAGACTGATAATAGGAAATATCCCTGGAAGACACTGAGAATATTGGGATATACCTGATTAAAGTTTACATGTATGCAAGACACACAATGCGTTCAGTATATCTACATTAAAAATTGTGTAATAAAGTGTCAAAGAGGATACTTCAGTGCTAAGCTGTGTAAATTAAGCCCCTTTTATGCAGAGATAATCAAAAACTCTAGCAGCTGCTGACCATATGGCAAGACCTAAGCAAGAACTAGCTAAAAAAATCAGAGAAATAAGGCTGTGTGTAAAAGATGAAGACAGACCAAAGCACTCCTGAGTTTGGCTCAGAAGAGAGCAAAGAAAAAGTGGTTCAGGAGAGGGAAGTTTTGTAGCAATGGACAGGGAAGATTTCTTTCACTGTGCCTGAACAAAAATGACTTTGTGGACATTCTTTCCAAAGAAAAAGAATTTTACTGAATAACCAGACTTGCACCTTTCATTCTTTGCCCCTCAAAAACAAAAGGAAGTATTATAGAGAATCAGCTCAAAAGCAAACCTGGTTTTCCCAACACTTGCTCTTCATAGAATCATAGAATGACTTGGGTTGGAAAGGAACTTTAAGATCACCTGGCTCCAAGACCACTGCTATAGGCAGGGACAGCTTTGTCTAGACCAGGTTGCTCACAGCCCCATGCAGCCTGGCTTTCAATGCCTCCAGGGAGGGGGCATTCACAGTCTCATTGGGCAATCTGTTCCCGTGTCTCATCACTTTCACAGTAAAGAATTTCTTCCTCATACCCAGTCTAAATTTACCCTCTTTCAGTTTAAAGCTATTTCCCTTCATCCTGTCACTACATGCCCTCGCAAAAGTCCTCCCCAGCTTCTGGAAGGCCGTTATAAGGTACCCCCACAGCCTTCTCTTCTCCAGGCTGAACAGCCTCTCTCAGCCTGTCCTCGTAGGGGAGGTGCTCCAGCCCTGTTTACCTTTGTGGCCCTCCTCTGGATCTGCTTCAACAGCTCCACATCCCTCTCATGTTGAGGGCCCAAGAACTGGATGCAGTTTTCCAGGTGAGGTATCGTGAGAGCAGAGTACAGGGGCACAGTCATCTCCCTTGACCTGCTGGTCAGGCTTCCTCTTGGAGGCAATGAACCAGCACCTTCAGTGCTTTCTGTTCTCACTTCGGGGTGATGTCAGCTTCTGGTGCTTCAGAACAACACAGTCTTGAAAATGATTTCATCCAGCAAAACTTTAAGGGTAATTACACCATGTCATATTTGACATACCTGCATTCCGATACCACAGTTTGGTGTTCAGTAATGGAGAGGGGTTCGAGTCTATTATTCTCTAACACAAGCGCTTGTTCTTTAGATTTTAGTTCTACAGCATTACCTCACATCCATATTTAAACAATTTTTTAAAACTACTTAAAAACACATTGGGGTCGGTTCATTCTTTACAAATCTGTTAATGTTAAAACCTCATCATCATCTAGTCTTGACATTCCTATTCAACTCTTGACAAGATTCAGATAAATAAGGCTGTTGGGTTTTGCTTCTGATAAGCACTTAGATTTCACATCTTGGAATGTGAATTTAATGGAATTTAAGAAGTATCACGGTATGAAAAACAACAGTAGAAGCTCCGACAAATAAAATATTCTCTCTTAAAAGTGCATGTGAAATAAAGAGTATGAAAAAAATGTGGTTTGCATCTTACAGAAAAGTGCAAAGAAACAGTAAAAACAGTCAAGAGGCTGTTAGATAATTAGTCTGTCTTCCAAGAAAAGTAAACAAATTTGGACTCACTAAAAGCTGTTGATGAAGGGATACGCTGCTGGTGTCAGATGTATTCTGACTAGTTTTACTGTGTTAGCTGACCTTGCATGGTTCAGTACTTCATTTCTTTACTACCAGCCCTTATCTCCAAGGTA